CTGTTGTGAGAATGTGGAAACTGAAAGGCTGCAATGTGATAGCTTCGTTGAACGATGTGAAAATTATTCCAAATGTGAACAGCGTCAGACAACTCAGAACTGTGGTGCCATGGGGTTGGTTGCAGGTTGGCAGGACAGTTAGACCTGTCCTATCTATCTATTTGAGAGCCGGAATCTTGAGACAGTATTTGCATCATGCACACAATGGGAGTGGGTTAGTGTTCTTTTACCCTACCACCCTTTTCCACCCGTTGACCCCTTCTTTCCCCCTTTTCCACCCTTTGACCCCTTGTTCCTTTCTCGCCTTTCCCCCCTTTCCCCCCTTTCCACCCTTTGACCTCTTCTTTACCCCTTTCCACCCTTTGGCCCTTTCTTTTTTGCTTTCCACCCTCTGACCCCTTCTTTTCTGCTTTCCACTCTTTGACCCTTTCTTCACCACTGTCCACCTCTGACCCCTCCCCCCTTTCCCCCCTTTTCCCCCTTTGCGCCCTTCTTCCCCCCTTTCCACCCGCTTCCACACCGCTTCTTCCTCCCTCTCCAACCCCTTCCACCCCCTTCAACGCCCCTTCTTCCTCCATCTCCAACCCCTTCCACACCCGTTTCCACCCCTTTCCACCCATTTCGACACTTTCCCCTCCTTGTGACAAACTTTTTCGTCGGAGTTTCACCGACTCGTTAGGAGGCTGAACCCTCAACAGTCAGTAGATTCCCCTATCTGATTACACTGTAAGTGATAAGCCACCTTAACCCCAACTGTGGTTAAGCACCAACGACAGCCCGACAACTGATACCTTGAGGTGGGCACCAACTACTGCCCTCAAGGTACCTGTGACGAAAATCAAAGCAGACTATCACTCACCCACACCAGATGGAAAGCTCTACAGACTGTCAGTTCACACCCCATCACAAGCAAGCAAAACACCCACAAAACAAAGAAAGGTCTGTCACTGCCAAAAAATACACTCCAGACACGTCACTGGCACTAGAGGCACATCATGGCCGCGTAGTGACATATGCAAGGAATATGAGTGTGAATGAAATACAGAAAACCAATGTTGCGAAATCACACAGATGTCCAGGTAGTAGTATCCAAGCAGAGTGTACAAAATGCACCGAGAAACCATCCATATAGAGCAATACAATGAAGTAATGAGCCAATGTTCAAGCCCGTAGGCCACACCAACACAATATCCAAAGTCGCTCCTCTCTGTCTGGCGCCCAGCGCCCAACCTACTCTTCCTGACTATCCTACCTACAGCTGGTTCACGCAACAGGCTCACTTGGACTCTTGAAGCCCAATGTACATGACTGTCAACTCCATAGCCGACCTCTCTTCATGCACCAGGTACGTATCTCGTCACCCTCAACCAGACCTTGATTACCCCACATTTGCCTCCTTCCGTGAAGACCACCAGATCACCTGCCGTACTCCCTGGCGCCCAGCAGCCCGGCTACGGTCGCTTGCGCCCCGCTGCCCTGCAGCGCCCCACTTCACGACTACGCGCCCCATCAGCGACCTTGGCAGCAGCGCAACATCAAGCGATAGTGCAGCAGCACTTCCGCATTGCCTGCGCTGGCCAGAATGCCTGGCCTGGACTGCCCTACTCCTTTCGTGGAAGTGGCAGCCTCCTGGATGCCGCGTGCGCCCAGGCCCGAGAGTACAGTTGAGGGCCTGGGCTCTTTTCAGTTGGGCACGGCCTGAGTCTCCGGACTTGGGCTGTTTGCTGCATCTGTGCAGGGCTCCTAGGTAGGTGTGTCCGCAGTTCTGCTTTTCCAAAGGCCGATGGCCTGCTTCCCAATGTATCGGCCCTGCTTTGTGTGTATGTGCCCAGGCACAATTGTCAAGGCCTGGGCCAACTGTGTGGCGCAGCTTAGTAAGGCTCACGCGTCTGCCCAACCAACTGGCGTGCTGCGACAGCCTGAATACCCACATATGGAAATGTTGAAATTTGGCCTTTGACGAATATTCAGGCCCGCCTTCACTTAGGGGGGCACTAGGCTTGCTGGGGCCTTAGCCCAGAACATGTGATGTTTGACAGGGCCCCTTGAGGGCTCGTTCCTCACATTCCATCCCCCTTAGCTTCAAAAGTCCGCTGAGATGCTTCATGATGGTGCCTTCCCCTTTAGCTTCTTCTCATAATCTGCCACGATCTGAGGAGCTGCATTATCAAGTTCCTCCCTTGAAATCCATCGATGTTCCTTCGGATCAGTATGATGCTTGAAATGTACTCTGTACTCCCTTGAAGGTTTAGGAGGCCTTCCCCTGCCAGGTGGCTTGGGAACAAGTGTGTCTCTGTGATCCAGGATGCCGTCGACGTCCACGTGGCCATCCATGGTTGGGGGCAGCATAGATCTCCGTGATGGGAACTGTGCTATCTCAACGAAAGGTGCCAGCTTGGAGGCGTGAAAAATAGGGTAAGTGTGTAGGTGACCAGGGATACGAATGACGTACGAGGGTCTATCCAAATCATTCCCCACAATGTCTAAGACTTCCCAGGGACCGAAATACTGGGGCATTAGTTTCCTAGAGAAGCCAAACTCCTGTCCCAACACACTAGCCTTGACCCAGACACGTTCCCCTACCTGAAATGTGGACTGCGACGCTTGTTCTTAGAAGCAATCATGGCTTCCTAAGATTTCTTGATGTGTTCTACAGTCTGCTGCAACAATTTCTCATACTGGACATCAAACTCGATGGTTCCAGGAGTTGCAGCAGTTCGGTTTTCAGGCAGGAGGAAGTCTAGAGAAGATCTAGGCTTCCATCCCAGATGCAGTTGATTAGGATTGACGCCGGTGGTGCTGTGTACAACATTGTTGTACAGACGGGCGATGAGAGGTAATTTCTCATCCCAGTCATCCTAGCCGAGCTTAATGTAATGCCTCAGCAGATGCTGCACCACATGGTTCATCTGTTCAGCCTGCCCATTTGCTTCGGGATGATTCCCAGAAGTCATCTGCAGCTGGCTGCCCATCTGTTCAGCGACCTTCTTCCAGATCTCGCTTGTGAAACGTACATCTCTATCTCTAACGATTCTCTTTGGCAGTCCAAAATCACGCACCCAGTTATCCATGAAGAACTTGATGACATGTTCAGTTCAAGCGGTCTCCTACACGGCAATTAGTCTAACATACTTAGTGAACCTATTAACTATGACGAAGATGTGCCTCTTGCCATTTTTGCTGGTCACGAGAGTATCCATGAAGGCCCTGGAGATACTCTGCCCTGGAGCAGCAGAAATGTGTAGAGGCTTTAGTAGCCCAAGCGGAGCTTGAGTTCGCGACTTATCCAGCTGACATACCTGACAGGTCTGTACGTACTTCTTTGCATCGTCCAGCATGTTAGGCCACCAAAATCGCTATACTAGGTTAGCACTAGTCTTCTTGTAGCCGAAATGTCCCGTTGCGTTGTGGCACTCACCTAAAAATAAACTACACAAAATCTCCCTACATGGAACAACTAACCTCTTAAATCCTGCCTTCTCAAGAAAGAGTAACCCATCCACCATCACGAACTCATCAGTGGTGGCCTTGCCTTTGGCCTGCAGTTTGTTGATGATGTCCATCGTGATGGGTTCTTCCTTGTAGGCTTCCCCCAAAGATCGAGTAACGTCCTCAGACAAGCCAAATTCAGAAATCAGCGCACCTAGGTAATCTGCCCTCTAGACAACGCATCTGCAACCTTGTTGTACTCTCCCTTCACATAGTCTAGTTTGAAATCATACTGATCTATGACTTCAATCCAGCGTTTGAGTGCATCGGAGAGAACTGGTTGTGTCTTGATCCACTTGAGGGTCTAATGGTCAGTTCTCAAGGAGAATAACCTTCCTAACAGATAGTGCCTCTAGTGGACAAGTGCCTTGTAGAGAGCGTAGAGTTCCCTCGCGTAGGTGGACTTTGCCAACTTCTTTGATGGCATCTTTTTGCTCATGTACTCGACTAGTCTCAACTTTTTTCCTTCCTGCCGAGCCAGCACTGCGCCAATGCCGTATTGGCATGCGTCAGTGGCTACAACAAATGGCCTTTGCAGGTCAGGTACCATGAGAACCTCATGGTGTGTGAGAGCATGCTTCAACCATTTGAAAGCTGCTGCACACTCGTCGGTTCAGTCCCATGGTGTATCAAGTCGAGTTAGATCAGTCAAGAAGGATGCGATCGTACTATTAATTCTTTACGAAATTGCGGTAATAACCACACATTCCCAATAATGATCTGACCTCAGTCACAAATTGGGGTCGTGGCCAGTCACATATGCTAGCCACCTTTGCATCTTTGGGCCTAATCCCATCCGCGGATACTTTATGACCCAAGTACAAGATTCGAGTGCAACCGAACTCGCATTTCTCTAGGTTTATCTTATACTTGTGCTGCCGAAGGAGTGAAAGTACCTTGTCTACATGCTGAGCATGCTCCTCGAGAGTCTTACTAAAGATAAGTATGTTGTCGAGGTACACGACAACGAACTTATCTAAGTAGTCATGGAAGATCCTATTCATGGCATGCTGGAATGTACCCGACGCATTGCAAAGGCCAAAGGACATCACCACAAACTCGTACAGACTGTACCTGGTCTGAAATGCGGTTTTGTGTTGGTCCTCTGGTCTTATGGCAATCTGATGGTAGCCGATTTTGAAGTCTATCTTTGTATAGTACTTACATCCCTGCACCCTATTCAATAGGTCGTTGATGCGGGGTAGAGGCTTTGCGTTCTTAACGACGATGGCATTGAGGTCTCTATAGTCAATGCACATACTTAGTGTTCCCCTTTTCTTTGGAACAAATAATACTGGTGAGCCAAAAGGGGAGGTGCTAGGCCGAATCCACCCCTTCTCCGTGAGCTCTTTCAATTGTCGTCGAAGCTCGTCCAACTCGGTCGGAGCCATCTAATAGATTCTTCCCTTAGGTGTCTTGCTACCTGGGATGATCTCTATGGCATGGACAACCTCCCTGTCGATGATTCCTGTAGGCTCCTCGAAGAGATCGGGGTACTTAGTGACAATGGTCTCTATCTCTGGGGGCGTTTTAACGGCCTCCCCTTTTGCAGAGACATAAACTAAGTACATTCCTTCCTCTTGGTTCTGTTTATAATAGTTATAGAAGGCAGATGCGCATAAGCACCCATAGGAGTCTATTAACCTACTGGATTTATACTTTGCCAGTCTAACGGTCCTCCCATTAGGCAACTCGTGCTTCAACACCTTCTTGTCCCCGTCAAAC